TTTTGGGCTCTAATATACACCACAATAATATATCAAGTTTATGTTACATATCCGATAAGCCAGTATATCATAACGATTCACTTCATTGAACTGCATTCTTTTCTCTAATTTTTCTTTGCTTTACTCGTTCTTGCCTTTCGTGCCATTTGTTTCAAGGAAATGTGCCAAATCAATAGATGCGCTTTCGTTTTATTACTTTCGTAAGTCACAAAAAAAAATTGGAAGCGAAAAGTTATATGGCAAGCCGCATTAGTTGGTTCAATACCGCGGTCGTAATTTAACTGTTTCGTGTTTTAATGTCATTTTAATTTGTCTTATCTGTTTTACCTTATTCCGTTGTCTTTTCGTTTATTTTATTTTGAATGCCAAACAAACATCAGCCCCAATTCAATGCTCCATACATTTACGATAAAATTGTATTTGCACAACAATTCAAGAGTCAAGAGAATGGTGAAGAAAGTAAAAAAAAACTAAAATCGAACACAAAGTTTAAACACGAAATGCAAATTACCGATTTGACTAGCACAATGTCATTGGCTCCCTCTACCATTTCGAATTCAGTCATTGCGCTTGCCGAAAACTGCAATTTCGATCGTTTGCTTTTAATCGTGCGATTTTCATGGGCAGAATTTGCCGTAAAAATCAATAGAGACAACAAAATTATTTTGCGGGTAAAATACCACGAATGAAAAACGAACACAAAAGAGCAATTGCTGTGAAAATTGCGCGAAATGGAGAAAAGTATAAAAGTTTGTCATCTTATTTATGACCTGCTGACATTGACTGTTTATTAGCATTGATAATGGATGAGTAGTTTTTTTCGATCCTCATTTTCTTTGTTATGGCTCAATTTCGTAGTCGTTCAGTGATATCATAATCTGAATGGTGTTGAAACAACAGGCGAAAGAGAAGAGAAAACGAACAACATTGACTATCTTTATGGTAAAAGTGATTGTCTAATAAACTGTGTATTGTTCATGTTGAAATCAACTCCCGAAAAATCAACGGCCAAACTAAATAGTCGAAACAATCAAAGAAACACCGAAAAAAAATATATACACAGTGTACATCCCAAAAACAGAGATAAAGATTATATGGAACAGTTTGATATGGAATAAGAGGCTGCAAAAGACTCATTGGCTTACAAAAATTTCCTCTAACCACCAACATACTGATAAACATCTTAGGGGCTAGTCTCACGATATGGAAACAACTATGGAAACATGAAATGTTTACAGAGGAATTTTGGATACTGATGTGACCACCCATTGGATATATAAAATCTACGGAAACATAACATGTTTCCATTCTATGTTTTACCAAATATTTCATGTGTTATCTATAGGTGGCGTTATCATTTAAATTCTCATTCTCATCCTCATCCTCATCCTCAACATTCAACCATCATTATTAAGAACGCGTCGTTCTTTTGTTAGCTTGTGATCGTCTGCAATATTCGCGATATTTATATCTTTTTTGTGTTTTGATAAAAAAAATGGAGAAAAATAATCAAAAAGATAAAAGAAAGGTTTCGAGAACATGGAATAGAGAGGAGATAAGGAAACTGATTGAACTTTACGAAATGAGAGTTGACCTTTGGAATCCTTCTTCTCAAAATTACATGAATCGGTGAGTTTCGAATGTTGAACATTATTTTTAATAAACTAAACTAAAACCATTCCGAAAAATTATAGAAATATTAAGCAAACACTGCTCTCAGAAATTGCAAATGAGCTGAACGTTAGTTCAAAAGACGTGTCCGCAAAATGGCATGCTTTAAGAACTCAGTTCAATAGAGAGTGCAACAAAGAACGAACACTCAAAAGCGGCTCTGGAGCTGATGAGGCTTACATCTCGAAATGGGAATATAAGTCTTCTTTGCGATTCTTAAACGTGAATACAATGTCAGGGGCAACCGTATCAACATTGGACTTGAATGAATTGTCATCCACTGGACCTATCGAAAAATTAGCTGAATTCGATATCAATGCTGCTATCGTTTTGAGTTCCGATTCGTCCGATACTAATGATAATCAATATGATGTACCGTCTTGCTCAAATAACAAACGGCGTATTGAACATTCGAGTAAGAGAAAAAAATCCAACTCACAGTCATCTGATGAAAATGTTTTAATGCAAAAAGCATTGGAAGTTATGAGCCATACAAACGACGAACTTGATGTCTTCGGTCAATTCATTGCCAGTGAAATGCGTCAAATTAGCGACTTATCAAAACGAAATTCCGTTAAGCGTGAAATTATGGCTATACTAATGAACAGTGGTAATGATATGCTGATAACAACAACTCAATTGCAGCCGTTTACGGTTTGCAACAATATAAGTCCTATCGATATAACAAATTCGGATGAAAACGAATTCCAATATTGTTTTGAATAAATAAAATTGCGCGATTGAGTTCGACCACGACCTTTCCCATTTAAAAAGATCCTAAATAAGTACGACATATACAAACCATTTCAACTTTTATTTTGTTTATATTGTTTTTCAAAACCGATGAGCCATTTGCAAGTGTGTTCAAAATGTATTTACATAGAATGATTGTTTACAGCCAAATAAAATTATTTATTCAACATTAAGAAGACTGTGAATAGCTTGTTTTGAGAAAATATTTATTTTCGTTGCTTATTTCGAATATTGAATCTTTCAAATCTGACATTTGTACATTACGACTTCGATTTATCCAATTTGACAGTTAGCTTGGTGTGCATGTTTGGTTGTATAAAACAGTTTGTTTCTGTAAGCGAAATGGATAAGGCTGAAGAAAATAGTTCTGGCAACTTGCTGCCATTGACCATTTACAAATGCACTGATAAAAGGTGTTCTTATTCAACTTTAAGGAAGGATCATTTAGATAGACATATCGATCAAACACACAATAAAAAACGCAAAATCTGTGAATGTGGAGCTCATATTTTGTCATCTGGATTAGCTCGACACAAAAGAACATCATGTCCATTGCTGAACAATCGTAGTTTAATTAGTTTGTGCATTGAAAAAGCCACCGAAAACTCACCGAATGAAACAAATGCATCATCTCATCAAATTACTGGAATGGAATTGAACAACTTTGTCGATACGCATGAAGAAAAAACTGCATGCTTAGTTTCAACAATAGGTTCTTGTGCTTCAAATCCGTTGGTGGTTCAATGTCCTGAGCCAAAGTGTAAATATTCGACATTAAGGATAGACCATTTGAATAGACACGTTGAACAAACGCACAAAAATAAACGAAAAATGTGTGAATGCGGTGCTCATATTCATTCCGCTGGTATGGCTCGTCATAAAAAAACATCATGCCGACTGCGTGCTTTGGTTGTTGAAAATGTCACTGATAACAAAAGGGATGAAGCAGAAGGACTAATAATCGCTGAAACTGAAACGAATAATAACACAGAGGAGGTCAAAGAGGAGACTGAAGAACAATTCGTAGCAATAAAAGATGTTCCTGTTGTAACAGATGAGCCACCTGAACAATACCCTCAAGCGACTGACTTCTCTATCACTCCATCGGAGTATATTTTGTATGATCCATCATTCATTGAATTTGAACATGAAGAGATAATTTATTAAAAAATGCATGAATGAAATCCTTTTGAATGAATAAAATAAATGTATTTATTTGGAATCGTCATCTTTGAATTTTTTTAACAAACATTTAGCGATAAAAATGATCAAAATGCAAATATTTATAAACCAATTCCAAACACATGTCACGATTACGCGCCAAAAATATATATAACGTTGAATATTGACGTTGAGGTTGGGGATGAGGAGTTTGTGAGAATTGACATTAGAACAATGTTGAGGATGAGGTGTTGAAAAGCGTATTCATTTTTAATTTGTGTATTTGATAGTGTGGAATAATTTATGAATTTAAATAAAATGAATAGCCGTGTGAATTTGAAAAGCATTTGCATCGTGTCTGGAACGACTAGCAAAAAGATAATCGATAAAAATATTCTGCGAAAATTGTGCAAAATTGATATATCAGTATCAGTTAAAAGAAAACTGACTGATGATGAAATAGTTTTGCATGCAAAACGAGCCAAGGTTAATCTGGAAAAAATGTCATCAAATTACATTCAAAATATGATTGTGGACGCGAGAAATGAAGTATTTTTTTTATTTGTTCACGCACAATTAAATATTTAATACTATGATATTTTATCTTTGCTAGAATCAATCGACACATAACACAATGAAATCAGAGAAAATTATACGATCCGAACCAAAAAATGTCTCAATTCGTTCAAAGTACATTCGAATGAATGCGAACAATGGGGTACTTATTATTACTTCACACCTTAAGATATGTTCGTTGCATTTTCTTTATTTTACATTGAACTTATTTCTTAGAAACAATCGAAAACGGAAGGAAAATTTAAGAATGAAACAACGCAAAAGGCTATATGTTGCACGGAATATGTTATTGGCGAAATCGTTTGGTGCAAGCTGAAAGGATATAAGCATTGGCCTGCATTAATCAAGAGCTTTGATGGGAATAAAATTAACATTTATTGGTTCAATGACTACCGGACATCAGCAGTATTTAAATCTCAGTTGAAAAAATTTCTTCCAAATTTAAATGTTTTCGGAAAAGATATGAATCTTCCACTTCAAAAAGCGGTGAAAGAGGCTTTACTGCTGTGTAAATCAATGAATGCAGAAGAAAAATAAATTTGTCTTGTATTAAAATAATTGGTTTTCGTTTGAAGTGTATTTTTATTTGACATTTTATAAGATTGGATGAGGTTGAAGGGTGAGGTTGAATTCATGTGTCATACATTTTCATCAAAAGAAATTCAGAATCAGATCAAACCACAGTTTTACAGAGTGACATGGCAATCTCGAAAAACACTGTTGCTTCCGCGGTTATCGTAGCCATTTTATTAACACAAAAAAGAAATAAAAGAAAAAAGAGAAAAATGTGGGTAAGAAATTGGATTCGTGCACGTGAAACTGAAAATTCCACTCATAAAATGATAGAACAGATGCGTAGCGAAGATGAAAATGCATTTAAAGGCATGTTTCGAATGAATGGCGTTCAATTCGATTTTCTATTGGAAAAAGTTCGTCCGTTGATTACAAAAAAGGATACAAATATGCGCAAATCAATTTCAGCAGAAACGAGATTAATGATAACACTAAAATATTTATCAAGTGGTGACTCATATAGAACATTGATGTACCTGTTTCGCGTTCCACATAACACCATTTCTGGAATAATTCCAAGCACTTGCAAAGCAATATTCTCATCACTTCGTGAAGAATATTTGAAGGTATGCTAACCAAAAATACTCTATTGTCCCAAAATACATTTTTTGTACATTACTTTCTGAAAAAGGTACCAAATACGTGTGAGGAGTGGAAGAAAATTGCCGATGATTTTCAAAGTAAATGGAACTTTCCGAACTGCCTGGGTGCACTAGATGGAAAACACATAGTTTTGCGTTGCCCGAAAAATTCTGGATCGCTGAATTTCAACTACAAACATAACTTCAGTATTGTTTTGATGGCATTGGTGGATGCCAATTATAAATTCACATACATAGACGTCGGTTGTAAAGGAAGAATTTCTGATGGTGGTGTTTTTAACAGGAGCTCTCTATATCATGCAATTGAAAACAATTTATTGAATATTCCGTCGCCATACTGTTTGCCCGGAACTACAATTGAAACACCTTATGTGATTGTGGCAGACGATGCGTTTGCGCTGAAAAGCTATATAATGAAACCGTTCAACTTTCGTAATCAAGATAAATCGCAACAAGTTTTTAATTATAGACTTTCTAGGGCCCGAAGAATGGTTGAAAGTGCTTTTGGTATCATGGCAGCCCGATTTAGATTGCTTAGAACTAACATCGAAATAAGTGAAAACAATGTAAAATTATGTGTTCTGGCCATATGCGTATTACATAATTTTTTGGTATCTGACGAAGACGAAATTTTATTATCTGATGCTTTGTTGAATTTTAATGAAACTTGTGAAAATGAATCGACAAATCCTATCAATTATTCAAACGAAGCGAAAGAAATTCGCGAATTATTCAAAAGCTATTTTGTCAGCCCAGCCGGAGAGGTATCTTGGCAATATGATATGATATAAATAAAAACAACATTTTTTTTCACAAATATGATCAGATAAGTTGGTGGCAATGCGACCATAATGGAAACATTAAATGCAAAATGTTTTTTTTGTAAACATTTTATTTCCATGGAAACAATGTTCAACAATTATTTCCAGTTGTTTCCATATCGTGAGACTAGCCCCTTAAATTTTTCTTCCGCTTTTTTTGTTGTCTTCTTTTTTCGCTTTTTATCTGTGTCATTCCATCGGTGGTATATCGCTGCTGTGGCGGCAGTCGCCTTTGCTGTGGCCATACATGAAACACTTTGCAAACGATACCCAGAAGATGTCCAAAATGTTGAGTACAACGGGAAAAACATAAATAAATGACCGAATCATTATATAACAACGGTATGAAGAAATACATACAATTCGAATATGTCTTACGAAACGAAAATATAAAAATGCTTTATATTGCATTGGGATATACTCGAGTCATATATATATGAAATGCATAAGCAGCGAGATGAAAATGCCTTTAAACAAACCTCATATTTTTTCAAAAGCACACGACAAATCTTCAAAACAATCGTCGGCTCCGAGTGTTTTATTCACTCCCTTTTTATGTTTGGTTTTCGCTATAACTCTTTTTCATACCAGTTATTATATACATCACACGTTTCGACATCATGATTGTCGAATGTGAGATTTTGTGCGGCTTTTTTGGAGCATTTCGGTTCGTCGGTTGAAATTACAAAAGAGATGGAGCGGGAAAGCGTGAACGAACAAAAAAAAAACGAAATCTGTTGAAAATCATATGAATTTAATACGAATTCAAAACAGCATCTATTCGATTTGGATAGAGAGACGACAAACAGCAAACAATAAGAAAAGATGAAAACATTGACATTAACTAGTGGATAAAAGAGAAGCGCAATCGAACAAACAACAAAAGAGCTTGAACAACAACGACAGAAATGTTAAATCCACTGATTTTGTGCTGAAATATCAAAGCATCAACAATCGAAGTTTTTCATGGCATTGAGTTTTCGTTTCAGATTTTTCCATTCTCTCTCTCTCTCTGTCTCTCTCTTCTCAATTCAATCGTTGCAGCAGCCGAACAGATAGAATAGAAAAGTTTTAGTTACTTGTTTCGCTACTTCTCATTGTTATTGTATTAAACTTACGATCCGAATGGATTTTCACATATTCTCGCACATAAACTTGCTGTTTTTTCGACTTCTGTTCGTCCTTTGGATGTTTGCACATGAACGAAAAGAAAAATGAGAACTATTTTCAGGATACCATTCATTCTGCAACTTCAAATTGGGAGCAGAGAGAAAGCTTTCAAATAAAATAAAATGGTGAATGCGCCAATGCTTTGTTGGTGTGCTGTTGGATTTTAAACCAGTTGGCAGTTGCAAAGCCGTATCTATCCATCTCTTTCTCACACTTTCCTCGTGGTATTTAATCCCGATTGATTTTAATCAAAAATACAAGAATAACAAAGGATCGTATTTCCATCAAGAATATATAGGCAAACGAATATGAGCACGAAATTCAAGCCAAATCGTTTTGTCGTTCTGACCATTACATGTTTGCAAGTTAGATTCTATTCCCCATTCTTTTCTCTTTTTTTTTCGCATGCATTGTGTGAGTGTTTTTTTTTTTGTTGGTTTCCAGAGAACAGCTCTATTTCGTTGTCGACTATCTGCGCTGGTTAATCTTTTGGCTATCAGCACACTTTTATCGTATTTAGCAATGGAAACGTGTTACGTCTTTATATATACATATACATTCAAAATAACTCAATATGCGATACATATACACTTTGATATAGTAAACCACTTCTTCTAGTTTCTCTAAAGCTGTTTTTTTCTTTTGTTTTCGTTTTTTTTTTTTGTTCGGTTGGGGTGATGTGAGGATTATCAGTTTTCTCTGTAAAAGTTTTTATATGTGTGTGCTTGTAATGTTTTCATTACATGCAAACCGATTTAGGCTAATTTCCATCATTTGGAAATGTGTCAGAATGAAATGGCTTCCATTTTGGCTTTGCTCTACTTGACGAATGACTGGGAATAACCCATTTTACGCTTAAGCCTCCCATCGCAAACATGCTCAACAGTTCAAAATAGATCACATAGCGTTATCGAAAATACTCTAGTTTACAGGCGAACATAAGTACACTCTTTACCTAATCCACTTGTGTAATTTATTAAGTCAAGTTCGGCAATGGCAGCTGATATTCGGTCGAATTTCCATTTACAAACTATTCATTTTAACAATGCTCAATATTCTAAGTGTTAATCCATTGTATTTATTCGTACAATGTGGTTTTTGTTTTGAAACAATTCACAAATATAATAAATCCGCAATTTTAAAAACATTTACCAATTTTAGTTGAATCTCCCTTTCATCGTTGTTATTCGTGAGCAAATGTTAATGCAGAAATTTAAAAGGCTCGCACGTACACTGATTGGATGCTTTGCAGCGATTTCAATAGTTTGTAAAAACTTTAAAATCAGCTTACCGAAGAAAATTACTACATATACTGAGTACATATTGACTCATAAGCCTAATTGCAGTTACTTTCACGAATAGATTTTCTACTAAAAATCATTTTCTCCAAAGAATACGCAAGTTCACAAAATTGCTGGTCTTCACAAAATATTCATGATGTCATAATTTCGATGGCATTTAAATCATTAAACAACAACAACGATTCAAAGTCATTTACTCGCTATTTTCTACTTTGAACTAGTGAGCTCATTAAAAGTAATGTGAATTCTTTGCGGAAGCAATAGATTGCACTTTGATTGATGATGTGAATTGTAAGAAATGAAAAATTTTCATCTGAAAATGTGACTGATTTATGTTTTTCCCTTCGAAATACACACGAATTTGATTCTGCATTGGGCTTTACTTCAGCAAGTAATGCGAATGCATTCACAGAATACGTATATACGGTATGTAATATGCTCAATGATCGAAATGTACTGGAGCGGCACGTCTTACCGCCATATAAATAACTTGATATCATAAATGCCAGCGGAGACATTTAAAAAAAAGAAAGAAATACGATGAGCTCGAGTGCAATTGCGTTGCAGTCAAATTGAAACAGAATATCTAATGGAATTTTATTCGAGTGAAATGTTCGTTCATGGGATGCACCAGAAGCAGCATCAGCGTGAACATCTTATAATTTATATAGTTTAATCGAAAAGCAATTCCATGACGATGAGTTAATGTGATTCGATCGTGCATGGCGGTTGAACGAGTACTTTTTAAATGACGGTGTCAAATTGATGCGGGAAAAATTGCATATGAAAAATAACATTTATTCGCTTGGACAAAATTAGCACGAAAATATAACATATACAGTGCCACATGACGTGTTTTTTTTTGTTATTTCGTCGGGAGGTCGTTTAATACGAAAATTTTAGCGCGGCAAAAACTAATTAGAAATGAAAATTCAAATATAAATTCCAATTTCCATTTTCCATATTACGCAATGTTTAATTAGTTTTAGGCTGTGGTTACCTGCATTATCGTATATTGTGTGTATGAACAGCTTTACCTCAATGTTGGTCGAACGGGGACTGTTCATACACACATACACGTACACCTGGAAAAGTTCTCTGGGGTCGTTCGGCACAGCTGTTCTTTCACTATTTCTCCATTGCTGTGAATGGCTGGTTCATTTCATGCTTGCTTTCAAAATGGCTTGTATCTTCCATACTAATGAGATTTCGGTGCATTCAATAATAAAAAAACGTGTATTGAAAAGGTGAACAAAAAAACGAGTTTCAAAAAGAAAATTTTCATCATCGTTTTCCTGTTCTTTTTTATTCATTTCCGTGATGATGGTAGTGGAAGTGCTGGTTTTGCTGCTGCTGATGACCTTTTTTATAGTCGCAAAAATCTTTGCAACGCCAAAAATACACACACACCAAATTATATACCATAGTCATTTTGAGCCATTCATTTTGTTAGCGCACAAAGTTGCAATTTGAACGAAGATGGTGTACTTAGACGAAGCTGATTAATCCTTTCACGATGCTCGTCTTTGCTCGAAATTGCATTTTGAAGATGCACTCAAGGCTGAACAGCGAATCACTGTGTGGCCATAGCAAATGAAAAATTCGCCGAGTAGAGACAGCGAGCGAAATAAAAAGAAATAACGAAGAACACACGCGCTATAGCACTGTATGCGCGCGTTTCAAAATTAAATGAAGTAAAAATGTGTAAATAAAGAAAAGAAGATGAACGATATGGGCAAGCGAGAAGAAGAGATAGAGAGTTAAAATAGAGGATGGGTTATTACCTTTGGGTGAAGCTATAAGATGCTTTGTATTAATATATTTTATGGCTGTCGTTGAATGTGAACATTTTGAGAAAATAATAATGAAACGGAAATGGCAATGCGCAACACATACCTTCGCGTTGGGCCCATTCCAAACGGAAATGCCACAATCTAAAGCCAAACGAGTGAAATATGTACAAATGAGACGAATCAGCTAAATTCGCATGCATAAATTGGTCATTTTCGATGTTAGTGAATGATAATAATTTGTTTGAATCTTTGAATGTAGGATGGCTTTAAGAAAATTTTGGCAATTGAAAAATCGCCATGTTTGCACACATACAATGTTTGTACACAAACACTAAATCCTATGCAAACGAAGTGTACCCAAAATCCAGTGAAGAATGAACGACACATTTTCAAACAGAATACCAAGTGAGAGAGAAGTTGGCGAAGAAAAAAGACGAGAGAGAAAATAGTAGACCGAACACCAGATAAAATGCAAACAAATTAATTCCGAAATAATTTATATGTGAATTTGGTAGAAACACGCAACATGCTTTCTATTCAACGCTGGATAATGGTAATAGATATGGAACGATTTGTTTGTGTTGGTGTCACTTTGGTTGTTGTATGTTGTGTTGCTTGATCTATTTGCACAGGAAATTATGGCATTGAATGGTATATGTACAGTGCAGAAAAGCCAACGTTTGTTGCTCAAGCCAAAAGTGAAGCG